CCCCAAGGGATATGTAGGGTTTAGTTTGTTTTCCCCCGGGACCCTTTCTCCACTGTGCGAAAAGAGTAGACATGCATGACTGCACGGGTCCCGTTCCCAGGTTTAAGGATTATGGGGTCCCGATTTATTAAGGATTGGACAAGGAATTATATCTTGAGAAATTCTTACGCCAAGGTCCAAGTACGCAGGCTTCCAAGAATTGAGTCTCCTTTCTTTAGCTGATAAGTACTCCTTGGAAGATTTGGGGGATTGTTGGTTGTCAAATTTTGGGGCGGTAGGATACCAGAGACTCCCAATGGAGCACAATTTACCATACAAGGGCAACCCGTGTGATGAGAAATTGGAAAAAGCCAAGGCAGTGTCGTTGGGAAAAATATGGACTAACACGGGGTTGCTGTTCCGAAACTTAAATTAAGTTACCATAATGGGCATATATATATAGAGTAACTTAAATTAAGTTCCTCAACAGCAACACAGTATCAACATCATCACCCGCCTCAACTACCCTAGAGCTCTATGTTGTTTCTTCTTGGTTGCTTTTTTGGTTTTTTGGGTACGGGATTAGGATATACTTTGGGTACTGCCCAAACCCAGTAACAGTCTATATTAGGGGTCCTATTAAGGGCTATATATAACCATATGAGCTTTAGTCTAAACTCCTAGTATCCCCCTTAATAACCCCTATAATACTCCCCTATATAATCCCCTATATAACCCCCCTGGACGGAGTTAAATTATAGCTCATATTATAATTATTATCCAACTGTTACTGAGGGGGGGCAGTACCCAAGATATACTACCTCAGGGGGATCTGCATCCGAGGCTCTGGGAGATGACTCGGGTTTAGGGTTTTAGGGTTTGGGGTTTTAGGGTTTAGGGTTTTAGGGTTTAGGATTTAGGGTTTAGGGTTTAAGGTTTAGGGGGAATGATCTTGCTTCCCTTCTCTGGTAGCTTGGACTCTTGCGAAGCTCTGCCATATCCCAGCTCCCTTTCGTTTGGGAGAAAATTTTTACGCCAGTAATTTGCCAGTAATGAAGAACAGCAAGGAGAATGGAGCATGACATGGAAACTGGGATTATAGCAAGTCATTTCAGTTTCTCGTTCAGAGAACTGGCTCACCGCGCTTGATTTTGTCAACTGAACCTTACACACCCTAAACGCACAGTCCACTAAGGCAACTTTGACTAAACCGTAATAAACCCTACCGTGAATGCTGCGCAAGCTTCCTCCAAGGGTCTAGGTGGGCAAAAAATGGGCTTGAGGTACCAGAAGCAATGGAGATTGTAGTATTGGGGACTTGAACCCTAGAATGGCCCTACAAGCTCTAAACCTCAATTGTTTGGGTTCTTGGACCCTCAATTCTTGTCAAACACTGCAAAATCCCTGAGCCACAGAGCCTGAAGGCATATGCGGTTGCGTTCCCTGCTGCGCAACGCCTTGGCAGTAGAACAGTGCAGGTACAGGGTTTTGAGGTTTTGAGGGTTGAGGGTTTAGATTTTGGAGGCTTAGGGGTTGGTGGATGGGGTTGAGGACTCCCTGGGAAGCCCGTTCATGAAACGACTCCAACCAAACAGCTCAAGAATGCAATTCGCAGATATAAGAACATGCATGGTTGTAGTGATATCAGCACTCGGCATATGATGTTCCTGCCATTCACAAACTATTTTTCTCGAGGCTTGGAATACATGAGAACCCGATGAATGTGATAGACTCTGTTAACTCATTGGGTGGTTGGTTTCATATGGATGACTATATCTATGAGGTGCTGAAGAATGAGAATACGAGCTGTATCCAGGCATGCAGCCCCCTAAACCTTAAAGCCTGAACCCTCTGGACAATTTGGCCCTGTTAACAAATGAGGGCGTTGAGTTCCTCTTCGTAGGGATTGTCGACTGATTGTAATGCGATTGTGTGGGAAGCCTCGAAGGAATTCTGCTGCTACTAGTACAACTACTATTCCATTACTTGAACTGCGACTATTGGCTCTTCGTATTACTACTTCTGCTGATAATATGGTCTTGCTATGGTATTACTATTACTATGACTCTTACTATTACTGCTAGTATTGAAGCTCCCAAGTAAGGTTGCTACATGGAGACTTCAGCAGCTGTGGTCTCAGAGTCGCTGTAAGGCCTGCCAGAGGTCGTTTCCAAAATGTCTCGGGCCAAGACCTCAAAGTAGGTAATGGTTAGGGGTTTAGGGTTTAGGTGGCTAAACAGTTACCCATTTCATTCGAGGTGTTTTTAGAGGTACTCTGTAGCGTAATTATAGAAGGACTCCAGAACCATAATCTTGGTTAATCTAGCCCCTAGAGTACTATTTCTAAACGGCGGATCCAAAGTTGGTACTACAGGGGCCTAAATAAATACTAACATTATGGTGAATTCCATTTAAGGTGCCATATACTATTCTGATATGAGGAATATGGAACCATGATATTGGTAATTATTTGATAGATTCCCGAAATAGGGGGACCTAACATAGAGCGCAAAGTACTACAGTCCTTATTAAGGGGACCCCTAAAAGGATACCCCTATTGTTGGGAACCCCCCATTTAGGCCCCTTTTTTACTATGACAATTTTGGATGCCGAGGTTTTGTCGAAAACTTTGGCTGTGCCATGGTAGCGGGCACAGAAGAGGAGGAAGTAAACTTTGGACCCTGATATTATATGGTCCCCAGATGTCCCTATATATCCCCCCACAACCCCGTTAAAGGGACCCTAATATTTGGGTCCTTAGCATGTCGGCCTTTGTCTGATGTGAGCCCCACACCAACATATCAAAGATTCGCGATATGGTGGAGGAATGGTTGATACCAGGTGAGTGGAAGGTTCAATGTTGGTGCGAGGCATGTAGGACGATGCTGACCCCCCCCATGAATCTGGCCCTTAACAAGTACTAATTGGAAAAAGCTCCTGATCGTCGCTCGCTTTATCCTCTGTTGTGCTAGATATTTCCAACTCAGCCGAACCGCATCCTGCCTCCAACCCTAGCATTGCTTACTTGGTGGTTTCCCAAAATAGGGGGACCCCAACATAGACCCCCGAAATACTATAACCCTTATACTCATTATGGGGACTAACTTTGGGAAAATTACTATTATCCTTATTATGGGGACCCCCCCGCATGGTAACCTCAATTTTGGGAAACCCCCACTTAAGGGATTCATGGATGAGGGGGTCCCGACTGCAGAAGTCATCTCCCAGCCTCACAATGAGGTCATTGAGGCTGGATGAAGTGCTCAGAGGAAGAGGTCCGCGCCTCATCATCATGCAATGACCTACTACTGCTAATCACAATACTACATCCTTTGTATGTAAAGAGCTTTGAGCAAATCAGTGAACGCAACATGAGCAAGAATGAATAGCCTGCAATCCTGGATGAAACGGCTTCGCATGCTTCTAGAAATTTCTGAACAAACAAAACGAACAAACACCTTTGCCATCGCCACCATTGCAGTTCTTATGTTTCCCACCTATTCGGGCAATTATTCTCACAACCGGGAACCGACGCATACTTACAAACAAGAAATTCGCTCTTCATAATTATCTCTATCAACCCCGGACCCGTACGCACGATGCGCAACTTTGGTTCACGCTGCACCCAGGTGGTGCAATACTAGTCAGAGGACTTTGGCAACACCCAAGCCCTCAAACCAGTACCCTACAAAGGTCATACGGCGGTTATAGAGTCCTGATGATTTCTGGGGTTAGGTTAACGACCATCACCTTGTTGAAGACCCACTAGGTTGCCTTGTAGTGTCATTCCATGCTTCAAAGCCGTCCTTTCAGGAGGGTGGTGCTTCTATGAGTGAGCGTAAAGCCCAACACCCAATGCTCTAATTCCTTAAAACAGCTCCTCAAACCCAAATCCCCATTCCTTGCCCCTACAACGCAGACGGCCTCAAACCTGTAAGTTCCATGAAGCGCAAGCAGAAATGATAATTTCAGCTGGCTCTTAGGAGCATAAAAAACAGAAAGTATGAAGTATTTCAGGAAGGGTCCGGTCTCCGCTACAGTACCTAAAGGGACCTACGCCCTTCAAATCTGAAAAGGCTTGAAGATACCGAATCATTGACTACGAAACCCTTCTTTTATAGAGGTACATTGGTTTTGCTGGGCCCTAAACGCGGCATCCTGAAGACCAAAACCACCCCCCCCCCAACGGTCGGCACAGCCAAGGCAAGAACAGAACCAGTCGCAGCCAGCGCAGTGCCAACGCCTCATGTTAAAAAAGAGAGGGTTTAGGGTTTAGGGTAAGCAAAGGGGCATATAGGGTTGGATGGGGGGGGGTACGTAGGGATTATACAGTGTTCAAGGACAATCGAGAATCAGCTGGAAAAGAACATGGAACACTGAATAAACACTGGGATTATGTAGGGCTTTACAGGATGGATGCTGAAAAACCTGTCTGACCTTAACTGCCTTACACCTTGGGCATTGTGGTGTTTTAATATCAACAGAAGTGGGTTTCTCATGTTAGTTTTGGGGAGGGGAAATATGGATGGTTCTGGTTATGTTGGGTTGCTATTGGGACTCTGGGTAAGACTTCTCAGAATGGAACTGGAGACGTCTACAGGATCCTCTTGTTTTGAGGGCAGTATCAGTATCAGGAGCCCAGACTCTGGGATTTAGTCCCCCTTAAGCAGATAGAATATGGCTTTGCGTGTATTATAATAAGATGCCCATATGCCCCATATTCTATCTACTTACGGGGACTATATAGGTATCTTAAGCCAGGAATTGAAAGAGGTGAATGTCACTGATTGGGTTCAGGTGGACTCAAGAACTTCTCTCTGGCAGCGTCCTAAGTGAATTGTATTTCCCTCCTGTTACCTAGTCTTACTAGTAGTTAGTAGGGAATGAAGGCATATGATCCCTCTAGGAAGCCTTTATGATGTATTCCCTTATTCCCTACTACCCGCCAGTAAGTACTTGTCCTCCTTGTTCTGACCATGTTGGTGTCGTATTCCGCTGCGGATTTAGTCCAAGGTCCCGGCTGCAAGCCTCCAATATCTGGAGGCACTTCTAAATGCAGATGGTTCAGCCAACGCCTTCAGCAACACCTGACCGAGGACAGCATTGAGGATTCCGGAAACCCTGAAGCCTCAACCCTAATTAAAGGATTACAATAGTACCCCCCCCCCCGCCCAAAGGATAACCCTCCCCCCCAGATGTAGTGGGCCTTATTAAGCACTATATAGTCCTTACTAGCTCCTTAAGCCATGGAGGGGGTACCCACCCTAAACCCTAAACCCTAAACCCACTGTTGTAACCCCTTACTAATTCAGTATGTAAGGGAGGCTTGGGGTGGAGTGGAGGGTGGGAGCAGTGGCAGGCATCTGAAGCTCATCTATCAGGGTTTAGGGATGCAGGGTTTAGGGGCTTTGGGTTTAGGGGTTCAGGGTTTAGGGGCTTAGGGCTTCGGGTTTAGGGTTCAGGGTATAGGGGCTGAGGGCTTAGGGTTTAAGGTTTGGCGGTTCAGAGTTTAGGGGTTTAGGGTTTAGGGTTGTACTCACGGAGCTGGCCATCTCAGGATGTTAGTCTAGAAGTTAGCAAGTCCTTACTAATGGTTAGCAGGGAATGAGGGAACAACATCCCTATATAACTCTTGTATTATAACGCTTTGGAGGGGTCCCAAGAGGCGGAAGGATCCGTGGATCTTGGCTTTGCCGAAGCATGCGACGTGGACCATAAACCCCAATCTTACTAGGGGCTAGTGAGGAGAGCTAGCAGGGAAAAGGGGAATTTATAGCATATTCAATTATCCAGAGGGTCCAAGTACCCAATAATTCGGTACTTGGGTTTTGGGTAATAGTAATTATAGTACAGGTTTTGGGTAAGTATATGATAATTGGGTACTTGGACCCTTAGGGTTACATACTGAGTATATTCTGTTATTCCCCATGTACACTAACAGCCAGTAAGTATTCCCTACAGCTGTGTCTTGCCGACATGACCTCACCCAATCGAAAAGCAATTGCAGTGCTGCTACTTGCTGGGATTTTGTATTAGTATAATGTAGGGTTATATAGGGGTAATGGAAAAGAACATGGAAGCTACTATTTAGGGTTTAGGTTTTAGGATTGACCACTCTGGCAGAATTTGGTACTTGGATCTCTCGAAGCCACCCTAAACATATGGTCCGCCGGCCCCCGCACAAACCCTAAGGGTGCAAGGACCCAAATACTAGGGCTTTAAGCCCCAAATACAATTAATAGTATAGTCTTCGGACCCTAAAACTCCATTATTTGGGTCCTTGGACCATTAGGAAAAGAGTTCAGGAATGCTTAGGACGGAACGAAACAGACCTATACCCTCAAAATGTCACGGTCCCTCACAAAGTGAATCTCAGAAAAGGACTCAAGGACATATAGTAATATAGGGAGTCCCATAACAGGAACTCCCCATTCAAGGACATATGAAGCCAACAAACTCCAAGAATCTTGGAGTGGTTCTTAAAGGGGTCAAAGGTTGGGTGCTACCTGATTTGCCGGGTGGCATGGTGAGTCATTCCCATTGAAACCTCAAAGAGGGAGAGTTTAGGGTTGAGGCTTAAGACTGAAGGATATGGGGTTCTCATGTCTTATGGCTCTCAGAGATTAACCCTAAACCCTAAAATCCTAAATCGTAAATCCTGAATCCTGAACCTTAAATAATAGTTTCCCAAAATAAGGGGACCCCAATATAGACCCTAATATACTATAGTCCTTATTATAGGGACCCCCCCCCAAAAAAAACCTAATTTGGGGAAATCCCTAAATCCCAAACACACTTGGCCTGGTGAATCACGACGTGTGTAAGAGGCTGCAAGTCCAGGCCATAGCGCCCCTTGCTGATTGGAACTGCCTGCAGCTGTTTCACTTGTTTGTGGGTGTTTTTAAGCCATTGGGGTGGGGGGGTTGGGATTCCTTTAAGAAGGATGAGAGATGAGAGTATATTGTGTCTGTATAGGAATGAAATATACGAACCCAGTATCCATGGAAATCTTGAGTTCTGCGCCCCTTTTGTGCCTCCAATGGTATAGTGGGAGTGCTATCGGAGAAGGGACTGCTGAGGTTATGGATTTGCTGCCAGGTTTTCTGAAGCTGGATTCGGCAGCAGCCTCTTTCAGCTCCAACGCAAAACAGCCGAGAATCCTACACAAAAAGGCCACCAGCACCAGCATTTGAACCATTTGGCACGTTTCAAAACTTGCCCCCTAGTTATAACTGTACTTCCTTGCCGAGTCCTGAGGAAACCAGGAAGAAGCCTGAGCCGGACAAAATGCCTACGAGCTACCTCCATATGCCTGCCAAATCCCTGCAAAATTCTGCAACCACCACGCTACCACACGAACCCTTGAAAAGCTGGGGACTCGAAAACTGACGTGCCTGTAGAAAGCGGATCACGCAGGCCAGCAACTCTATCGCGACGGCGCCGTCCTCAATCCCCAGCTGCTATTCTTGCAAGGAGCTTCCGTGACGAGTCTCTAGGGTCTTAGGTTTCTTAGGGCTTCTGCGAGGATGCAGGTTATAAGGGTTGACTTTGCGAAGCTGCGTCTCACAACACTGAGCACGAGACGCAAACTCGTGGGTGCTCGACAAAGGGCACCAGGCTGGGAACCGCCATCAAGATGGAGGAAATCACGTTCCGACTGACCTGAAAGAAAGCTTTTGTCGATGTAGTTTGAGCAGTGTAACCCTACTTGGAGCTACATATGACCTGCTAAGGGTCCAAGTACCTAATAATGCTTACCCAAAACTTGTACTATAATTACTAGTACCCAAAACCCAGGTACCAAATTATTGGGTAAAGGACCCTCTAGGACCTATGATTCCTAGCAGGGGTCTAGCACTTCAGGCTCAGAGCGTAGGCCTTCGAGGATAAGAACTTAGGGCTTCGCAGTTTTAGGTGTAGGGTTTGGGGTTCAGGGTTTAGGTCCCGTTGTCTAAGTATCCAGATATCACATACTTTTTGCTCCAGTGGATTCCTGTACCAATGCTTCGAGACCCAAGTCTCTCTTCTAGTTGATTAATCTTACTGGTTCTTACTGGGGAATAAGGGATTGTACTCATTATTAACCCCTATCCCGAAATCCTAAACCCCAAATCCTAAACCCTAAGCCCAAACACTAGACCCTATAGAATCTAGCCCTTATTCCCTACTAAGAACCAGAAAGCCGCTTTAGGGCTCAGAGCTGCAAACTCAAAGACAGACTCAGGACAACGGCGCCAAAGGCCCCCAACACGTTAGGTGCCGGATTTAGGGTTTAGGGTTCAGGGTTCATAAGGGTTCAGGGTTTAGGTTGCAGCAGGTACTGTTTATAGACTTTGGATCACGAAGTAGGTATTGTTTGTAGACTTGGAACCCAAGGGTTGTTGAGCCCCATGGCCTAACATAAGCTTTCAAAGATCATGGATTTGCTCAGTCCGGGACTTGAGGTGGCGGCAGGTCCAAGTTGCCCAACCTGCATGCCCAAGGACTCGGGTTCAGTAGATTCCAAACAACATGTGCAAGTTGGCATGAAACTGCCGAGTCAAATTGACTTTACCACGTCTGCATGACTCGGGTTTTTGCTTTGCGTGCAGGAAGGAACCATTGAGGACCTTGGTCGCTGATCTTTGAATTCCATCTGGTGTAAGTGCCGGGCGCGCCCAGGCAGGCTGCTTTAACAGCTGGCTCTGGATGTGCGCTCAATACATCCACCTGCCACCAGAACGGCTGATTTCTTGGTGGTGGTTCGTGAGGAATACGAGAATACAATCCCTATATGACCCCAGTATACTTGGTTCCCTTATTGCGAACTTATTCCCTACGAACCACCCGCAAGATTTTCGACATAGCAGAGGTTCAGTGGTAGGGTTCATTTTCGTGGTCTAGCGCTCCTTGGATAAGGTTTGTGAGGTTGAGGGTCGTGTGGGTTTTCAGACTTTCACATTTCAAGGTGAAAGGGTTCACTTGTAGTCGTCCATGGCTTATGGTTTCATATATGAGTCCATCAGCATTTGGTGCATGCTATATACTGTAGTAGTAGCACGGTGGATAATAAGAATCCTGCATGACCCTATAAGTACCTTAAATCTTGGGAATTATGGTGCTCTAGCATAAGAGATCATGCAGTCGGCCCCTTCAGACCTAACATACCCCCCCCCTGACTCCTATGCTATACGGGTTTCTGGTTTAAAGTTTTGGGTTTCTAGGGTTCCGGCACCAAATGAGCGAAGTCAATACTTCTGATATACTTAATGACTCTTATCAAAGAATATGTTAGGGCTGTTTGAAGTTGCTACAAGGACCCACTATGTCCACCCTAGCTAATCCTTGGTAACTCTAGTCCTGACGACCTCAATTAATCGCTAGAAACCACTGTATGCTCCCAGTTTCAAATCCATTCTCCAGGTTTCTCCATATGAATCTCCATTGTTGTGGATAAGATCCCAAATCCTCAATCCTAAATCCTAGGCCCTAGGCCCTAAATCCTAAATCCTAAGCCCGAAAGCAAGTATGTCCCTATATACACCATAGTCAAAACTCTGAGTATTCCCTTAATCACCGTATAGTAGTCCCACATATAACCCTTATATAACCCCCCTTTTACGGAGCTCAGACCCTTTACACAAAACCCTATACCCTACCCATCATATCCCCATATAAAACCAGTACCTCAAGGTCTCCCCTAAGGCCCGCGCGAGGATCCCTGCCAGGTTTTCAGCGCGTCCCCAGGGGTCTCCCAGGGAGGAGGCAACGCCTGTCTACCAATCTCAAACTATGGGAGTATACGCGAATTACATAGGGTTTAGGGTTTGGGTTCAGGGTTTAGGAGTTAAGGGTATTATCCCCAATCTTGGAACATGAATTGAAATCTGGGATCTATTATAGGCGTTACATGAAGGATTTATGTTCTCTAGGAGCCTCCAGAATTACCTATATATGTTCGAGGTCTATATAAGGCACCTATACCATACAAGGGATCTAGGATCATAATACCGGGAAGGATTTGAGCCCCGCGGCGAAGTAGGCGGAATGTTTGGGTGGGGAGTCTTGCGGAAGATGTTGTGCGATGCGATTCTGGGAGGCTTTTTTGGGCGTTGGTAGGACATATCATTGAAGGAAGATACCATTGTAGTCCAGGAAGGTCCCCCTAAATCCTAAACCCTACTGCCTTGCATCTTGATTCCGCTTAGGACTGGAACGGGATTTAGCATGAAGAGTCACGTTTGAAGGGGGATGGGGCTTCCAGAAGGTTTCTATGGTTCGGCGCATGCTGAGCATTGCAAAGCTATTTTCAGAGATCTCAGTAGTCGACCATGCCATACTTGACAGAAATGAGGTTGCTCATGCTAGCCTGCTAACATACTGACAAACCTGCATACCGGCAGTAAGATTCTCCTGGCCTCCTCATAGACTTAGCGTGACGTAATACAAAACACCGCATATACACCGCGATACATATTCATACTAGGTGCCCCCGCCAACAAAGAGCATCTGATCTATGCAACCTCAATTCAGGTCTGGCGTTCCTTAACATATTTTGAGACATGCGGGTTCCGAAAAGAAGGGGCCCAAATATAGAACCCAATAGACTAGACTATAACCCTTCTTATGAAGCGGTCCTGAGTTGAGACTGTTTGCAATGGGTTGCACGGCCGGCTGCATGACCTTAGGGCAATGCAGGGACAATTATCAATGCTGGAGAATCGAGCATGGGAATATATGAGGGCTTACAGGGATTGCAATGTAGCGGCCTAGATGAGCCCTTGTCTGAACTCCTAGAATCCCCCTTAATAACCCTCATAATAGTCCCCTATAGAATCCCCTATATAGCCCCTATTCAAGGAGTTTAGACCCTAAACCCTAATCCCTTAACCCTATAGTCCCCTAAATAACCACCCTTTAAGGACTTTAGACCCTATACCCTAAAACCCTAATCCCTAAACCCTAATCCCTGAACACTAAACCCTACATGATCCCCTATATAACAACCCCCTTTAAGGAGTTTAGACTATAGCTTAGATGATCGAAGCAGTTTTGAGGTCTGTTTCAAGCTGGCCAGACAAACGAAGCTTGTCCAGGCAATTCCACATTTTTTATGTGAGAATTAGAGCTTAGGGTTTAGGGCTCAGGGTTTAAGGTTTAGGTCTTAGGGCTCAAAGTTTAGAATCAGATGGCCTTTACAGGAGTCCCTAGGTAATATCACGGGGTGTAGAGGCGGATCACTGTTCTTGTAAACACGAGAAACCCTAAACCCTAATGCCCTAATGCCCTAAATCCTAAACCCTGTGTCATATGTTCACAGAGACCCCATTTTCCCTGAACTCAGCTATATACCTTAAACCATATGAGAAATGGTTGTACCACTTGGGGAACATCCATACTTGAGGGATGTTGGGCTTCCTGGGTGGTTTTGATCGTAGCACGTTCAACTTGGTTAATTTCCCAAAATAGGGGGACCTCAATTTAGACCCCAAAATACCATAAGCCTTATTATGGGGACCCCCAATCAGGTACCCCTAAGTTTGGGAAACTTCTAATTAGGAACATATAGAAACGGCTCATACTTTAGTGGCATCCAGGGGGAGGTATGTAATTAGAACTCCTGATATGAGCTAAAGTCTAAACTCCTTGTATCCCCCTTAATAAGCCCTATAGTAGTCCCCATATATAATACCCTATATAACCCCCTTTAAGGAGTTTAGACCCTAAACCCTAAAACCCCAATCCCTAAACCCTAATCCCTGAACCCTAAACCCTGTATAATACCCTATATAACCCCCTTTAAGGAGTTTAGACTATAGCTCATATGGGGGACTTCCTCCACCTCCCTTCAGAGGCGCCAGCCAGCAATCGATCTCCACAAGCCCCCGAGACGAGTCTACCTGGTGTGTGTTTGGTTTGGGGCTTACGGGTTTGGGTTTAGGGTTTAGGATGGTTTAGGGTTTAGGGTTTTGAGTTTAGGGTTTTGGGTTTAGGGTTTTGGTTTGGGGCTTAGGGTTTGGGGTTTAGGCTCAGGGTTATGTAGGGTTTTGGGTTTTGGGTCCATCCTGCGTGCAGTTTGTCGGGATTCATTGCTTAAGTACCAGGCCCATAGCTACCTTGAGAAACTAAAGTAAATATACATAATACCTAATCCGGGCTTTTGGGATCATCAGGGATAGGTGCAGCTAGATATCCTGGATATGTAACGGTATGTATCTAGATATTCCTGATATGTAGCGACATGCAACCTGTCAGCCTAACAGTAGGTATCCGATTTGGGTTGTAACCGTAAAAATCACAGGAATTTGAACTGAAGGCACTGGGATACCGTGCAGATGTGCTGCTCCACAGGTAATGCTATTTGGATGTTTCTTCAGTTTGTGGGTCATAAGGGAACCTAGGTAGGGATTGCAAAGGGATCACAGGGGTCGCCACCAGGCATTCAACGGTGAAACCTGAATAAACTTCCACACGTGTCTTGCGTGAGCAGGTATAACTTCATCGGCCCTGGGAATCTGTTGGAATGCTACCCTCAACCCTAGACCCTAAACAACTATTACCTGCCTCAAGGCAGTTATCTCACGTTTGGGAATTATGCCCCGTTTGTCTTCTAATGTCATAAAGCTCTGCATCCTGTGTTTTGCTCTTTGTTT